TTCTGTGGTTTTTTTTTGTCTAATTGGATCAATTGCTTTAATCTTCACCACTTACAAGGCTGAATTAAAGTCCGAAACTAAAAGTTTCATGTCATGCTGGGTTAAAAGACAAATAACAAGGTACCTGTAAGGTCTAATTCAGTCCCTTCTCCTCTCTCTACAACTCCCCAATCATCACTTCTAGCTGATAAAACAAATTTATGGGCATTGAGTTGATGTCCACCTTCGAGCAATATTCTTACATCACTGAAATTAGAAAAATTTATCATTTGTTAAAGCCTGTTATTTGAAAACCTCCATTACAATCAGTGGCATTTCTCTGAATCATCAAGTGAGGGGGTCGAGTAGGAGCCTAGGAATTGTCAAGGGGGGGCTCACAGGCAATTCTTTCCCTCCGTAAAATGATAAAACACTTGAAAGTATGTAGCCACTTGGACAAAGCCAGGCTTGCCAATTCATTTGTTATTAATATCATCTAGTACGGCAGGCTAAATTTATTTTACTACAAATAATGCAACAGCATTTCAGCTTTTTTTGAAAATAATTTTTGAGAAAAACAGTCTTAACATGCATCTTCACGTACATAGAATCAATTCTTACATCAGACATACCTGTATTGTTCCTTATCAAATAATTCAGCTACAACAGACAATAATTTAGACACAAAGTTATTATTTTCCCCTCCACCACTACTGGCTAATAACACTTGATATTTCTTCTCTACATCAGCAAATTTCTCTTGTAACTTTACATATTCTTCTTTTAATAAACTTAGATGATTCTTTAATTTGGACACTTCTGAAAATGAGGAGCATGACAATATTGATAATTAGTATTGTAAGTGAGGCCTATTGAAATTCCTCTTATTCAAGAATGCAAGGTATGCATCACCATTTCGGCACGAAAATGTCTTGGGCACATGTTTTCCAGTATTAGATCTGAGTGAGCAATCAGGTTTATAAACAACAAAATCAACTGATATAGAAAGTTCTAGAAGCGATGGATTTGATGTAAAAGGATTGAATTATTAAAATTGAAGGGTGTGACAGACAATAAATCGAAAGTAGAGTTCAGATAATGTTGCATGTAACTAAATATTTCGCTGGCTACACGAAAAACGATGTTACTGCGGAGTGCATTTGAAAACAGTTTATGCAAGAACCCAAATGCATAGTCAGTTCGTTCTCCAACAGATGAGTCTTAGTCAAACATTGAAGAAAAAGAAACGATTAGAGAAAATTTTTAAGAATTACCGTCCGCCATTTTGACTAATTTTTGGTCATGTGACTTTCAGTGTTGTCTCAAATTACGACATGGACACGATCAAAATTAATGCATGTCAACTTCGATTACCAATGCGCAAATTAAAGTTACATTACTCTATCATACCTTTAGTTTGATTTTGATTTTATGAAATGTAAATCCATAACCTTCAGAATCTGAAAATAAAAGAAGGCTTAGGTTGAGGGCTGGCAACGGTTCTAAATACAAAGCCTAAGCTAGGTTAGGTTGAGCCCCCTCCCCATATAGCCTACACACACACACCAAATAAAATTTAGAATAATAGAATCGATATGGACACACATTTTTGGGGCAAAGATAAAAAAAACCATAGTATGGAATTTCCTAGGAATGAAGTGGGTACAAATGAGACTATAACTTTTGTGGAGGCATGTGCTCCTCCTGTACCCACAATGACATCGCCACTGATTCATCTTTTAAATGATGTCCCCATACCTCACTCCTTCCTTTCTAGGTGCTCCCATCCCACATGTATACTTTTTAAAATGCCCCACCCCTCCCCTTTAGCCGACTTATATTCTCCTATCCAACCATTTCTAGTTGCTCCCCTTCAATTAATAAATGTCCCCACCCCGATCATTTTTTTAAGATTTACAAAAATTCGTTCAGGTAAAGGAGAAAATCTTATGTTTAATCCTATAAGGGATGAATTGTGCTCAGTGTAGTACAATAGAGGTTAGAAACCTCAAACTTAAACCATTGTATAAAAAGTCTTGACGAACAGTTCACGTATATCGCAGACTATGATGAGAATGTTAGTACCCCAACAGTTCGAAAATTCTTGATTGGGTACGTTCGATTTGTCTACCAATTAAGGCTTGCTTATACAGATTCTATACAGATAGAAAATACGACTAATCGAACAAATCCTCAAACTATCTCTGCACTCTATTATTTTAAATCCCAACTTGGTTGTGAGCTGAAATCAGGGGTTAAGAAATAAAAGCTACTGTATGTAACCAAGGAGTTCATTGTACCTCACTGGGAGAAACGTTCATTGCTTATATTGTGTTTATTCATTCAAAACCCCAGAGTCGGATGGGACAATTATAAACCGAGGCCTCTTCAAGAAACATTGGTCAGCCAAAAAATATGTACGACAAATCTATGTCCCTGTTCCTTTGGAGAACGGTTTATTGACGTGTTATCTCGCTCAAAAAACTGCACTGTTAACATCGTTCAGAATCATAATCCAAAATTAACGTTCAGCTTGTTAACCCATCAAATTCAAATAAACTACCAAACAGAATTTAGTGAAAAATGATCAGATGTGAGCTTTTCTGTGCCGAATTTAAAGGGACAGCTGCGCAATTTTTTTTACCAATCGTACATTAGTAATTTTGTAGCTAAGCCAATCAGTAATAGTGCTCACAACTCACCCTTAAAAATTGAGCAAGGTGTGTCCAGAAAATTGTCCAATAAATTGTCATAATATTATTACTGCCGACTGTAGCTCTAGGCAGACGAATGGATACCAGGAGACAGCCAGGCCTTAAAGTTGGGGTACTAACATTCTGCTAGTCTGCGATGTTGCCTTCTTCTGAAAGCAATACGTGAACTTGTCAACTACCAACCACCAACCATTCTGTGGTTTGTTCTGCGTGCTAGCCCGACACAATATTTATCATAAATGTTAATGGATAATGCGATATTGTATATTTAGGCAACCTAGACATCATCGACATCGTATCACGAATACAGGATTTGACATGGTCATGAAGTATAACAAATGGGGGTGTGGTTTGGAAACGATGCCTAGACACTATAGTAAGTCACATTATGTCCATCATTCATGAATAAACATCGGAGGTGGGATTCTTCGTTGTAGAAAGGAAGATGTGATACTCACTCTCAAAAATTCTTTGTATAAATTGAGGATGGATTAAAGAGGCCAATGCAGATAATTCATAACATGAAAATCTTAGCAAAATTCAAACTTGTATAAGGCACTTTATTATAATTCAGTTTTATATACAATATAATTCGTTATAATCTATATACAACTCCATATTATATAGTTTTATAAACAAAAATCACAGAATCTTGGAAAAAACAAACCGTCGTTTTACCCTCAACCGATTATAACATCTTTGCCTACCAAACTGGCACCTCAGTTTTGGAAAGCCTACTTCTAATTTGACCTATGGTAATGTACACTGTTGAAAAGTAATGTATGATAAAGCAATAGTTGAGATACAATATTGTAAATCCATTTCAAGATATTTCAAATACAAATATAGCTCTTATAAACCCCTCAGACTATTCAAAAGTCACGTTTGAGTTTTTCTAATAAAATACCAATGTAAATTCGCTATTTTGTTGTTTTACCAAATCTTTGAAAGATAAAAACGACTTAAAGAATGATGCATACATATAAATACAAATTATAGTTTATATACAATATTTAAAACCTGCCAGCAGATTTATTTTCAAATTGGGACCTTTGATTAAAGGATTTCTCGTTAAAGAAAAGCATACAATTATTTAGTAGGCCATATTGGCACGATGATATGCCAATATGCCCGTCTTTTACAATTACATCGACACCAAAGTGGAAAGCAAACTTAAATGTGACATTAGTGATTATTGTCCTTTGCATAGATTGGTCATAGTGCACTCAATAAATAAGTCAATTTCCACGCAGCGCAAAAAACAAAACAAAAAATGCACTGTTAACAATATTTTCAAATTTTATAAACAATAACGAATTCAAATATATGATACATTTGATAAAAAGGAGCTTTGATTTTGGCGTCAAAAGTGTTTAACTGTCTGACTAAGTCTCCGAAAGATATTTTAACGGTTGTAATTTATAACTCAATATCAATGTCAACAAGTAACTATCACAGACCAGATACGAGTCAGCAAGTTTCAAGCAATGTCTTATTATAAAGGCAATTTTAAGGAAATATTATCAGAAATATCAGGCACATGAATACATGCAGTGCAATACCAAAGAAATATCGGTACCTAAAACACTATAAAATAACATAGAACATTTGGAAACCCTGATACCCTCAAGACATATTTGGAAACCCTATTGACTTCTTAGATTTAAATATCAAATGAAACACGAGAAACCTTGTAATAATTAAAGATAGTTTTGCGTAAAATAAATAACATAACATAGTTCAAAATGAATCAAACACATTTGAAAATAAATTAAAACCTTTTCAACAAACATGCATTAAAATACTAAAACAACCTATTTGGAATGTTAAATTGTGAGGTGGGATAATGTACATCATTGACTTAGATACAAGACAAATATTTGAAATATTTCTATTTAATTTGGGGTAGCCATGCTGGAAATATGAATTTATGAAAGCGGTTAACACCATTACAATATATCTAATTATATAGAGAATATTTGAGAACTGAAGAATTTTACTTCAGAATAGCGATACGTATCACTAAAATTCAGATCTATCAGCTAAAAGTATACTTAAACGACCACCTTCTTTAACAAAATAATCATATCGTCTGCAATTTCACATAAATGATGGCATGGAAAATATAGACTCGACTCGACTCGACTCGATAGGAACCGCCCTGTTCCATTGCACTAATCAACCATCCTCTCTTAGTGAATTTCTGATAACGAGTCATAGTTCTGTTTCTGACTCCATACACCGGTTTTATACTGATAAAAATGGCACATTGTGGCGTACATTGAACACATATGAACTTTAAACTAATTAAAATGTTACATATAAAACTGAACACATTAAAAGAACTAACATTGTCCAGGATAAAGTTAGAACTGGGGAATTATTGTCTGAAACGAAGTAATTCTTGCAGCTCTCACAACATTCGCTGGTTAAGTTAGCACAAGATTGACCAAGATTGATTCTTCTCATGCAGTTTTCTGGACTTTTATCTCCATATTCACAAGCTGAAATTACAAAACAATTTGTTTCAGAAATTTTAAATAAAGAACGTTTTCAACAGCACCTAACAATATCTGCCAAATATAGCACTGGTCACCTATAAATGTGATGTTAGACAGGGGACACTTGCCAGAAACACCATGACCTTACTATCCTAAGTTCATATTGTTCCGTTTTCAAAAGTCTGCCTGATCTATGTGTTCCTTTATGGACCTTTTTTTCAAATAAGGGTTTGTAGGTAGGGGAGAGAAAGGAGGTTTGGTGGTGTATTAATAAGCATGTATTCACAGTATCATTCATTTTGTAAGAAGAATTTCATTTTTTATCACATAATCACACGTAAACATGGTGTGGGTAGGCCTAATATATTTTAGGGGTATTAGTGACTTTGCGATTAAGTGATGGTGGTGCATGAACCACTAAGTGTCTACTTGTATGTGCAACGACAATTTGCTGTGAGGAAGTATTTATTGTAGGTGAGGTAGACACATAATTAGAATCCAGATACCATTATCTGATCTTTAACTGATATAAGTATCATAACCATGTCCAGAATACCAGTTTTTTTAAGACTGTCATAAGTCCTTTACCTTTAATCGATTTAGCCTTTTCAAGACATGATTGACAACAAAATTCTTGAATTGATGTATTATAACACGAATGGATGCCTTCCGATGCTATGAGTTCTCGACAAGAGTTCATTTGATCCTCCGAAATTGGTTTACATGGGCTATTTGTGGTGGGTGCTACAGTAGTAGATGTTGTAGGAGATGGAATCGTTTTAGTAGATGGAGTCGTAGTGGTAGCCGGAGCCGTGGTAGTGGTGGATGGAGTCGTAGTGGTCGTAGTGGTGGATGGAGTCGTAGTGGTCGTAGTGGTCGACGGAGTAGTTGAAGATGTTGGAGCAGTCGTGGATGATGTTGGTGATGGGGTTGTTGACGTTGTGGTAGACGAAGTTAAAGTTGTGGACGTAAAAGTTGGTCGGGTAGGGGGGGTACCATTATATTTACAAGTTTGGCAACATTTCTCGTCATAGTAGGATCCATTTGCCAATTGTGTGCCACACCATCCTTTATTGCAAGCGGTATTTGAATCTCCATATGGACAATCTGTAGGGTAATTAAACTTGGTGAAGATCAATTCAGTTTCCAAAATAGATTTGTTTGATTACTTTTGAAAAAATTCTTTTGCTTTAAAATTGTCTTTGGAATAAAAATTTACTTTCCAGTTTTCGGATTTGATAGAATTAACTCAATAGAAAAAAAAAACAACGGGGACTCTAAGGAGCATGCTAAGGTGAACATTGAAATTTAAAGCAAGAGATAGATAAAACGAACTAGGCGAAGGAGAAGAAGTGAACAGAAGCATATCAGATGACATCAGGTAGGAAAAGAATCTTCTAAAGGACCACAATATAAAGTGTAGGAGCAGGAGAATTATATCTGTGCATTCTGGAAGAACCACTAACGAACTCATATTTGCATCTTCAATAATATTGTTCACTTATTTCTTGTGAACTCATATACAGGCAGCATCCAGTGTTATTACACATTGTAACTTGATATAGCAAAAAGCCGTTGAGTTAAACATGCTAGTGCATTTTAGTGGTTGTGTGCTGTAGCTTTAAGTGCATGGAAATGTTTATAATTATGTAACTGAAAGTGAAAAATACTATATTGTTACAGAGTATTGTGTTCATGTGTTAATATGTAGGGGCGTGTTCTGGTTGAAAATTAGGCCGGTTTCCCGGACGGGCTTTGTGTTTGAATTAGCTAACCGTGGCACAAAAATAAATTTGAGTCGTTCGAGAAACCTTCTAGCCTATGCCTCAGATGCGTTCAAAGAATATGCAGTTCTACGCAATGAAATCGCACCTATTTTGAGGTTAATCGGAAAAAAATCACCCAATTTCCCCTAAAGGTGCCGGTATATACAGAAAGAATATTTGATGACAGATATGTTTGAATATGTATATATAATATATAAGTGCATAACAGTAGCAGTGAATTTGAAGCTTTTAGATTTTAGATTTTTAGATAACAATTTCATTCCAAAACTATACCTGTTGACTGAAAATTGGGGATAAAAAAGTCAAAGTAAGGTGATGTTTTGTTTGGTAGAGTGTTCTATAGAACATAACACATCTAAGGAAGGGGAGTGAAGAATACAAACCTGACATTTTGAATACAGTGAACAGTGGGAACTATATATTCTATCACAAACAGTGCGATTTTAATTATTTTACTATATATTTATTCTACTCTACTGGTACTAAGGGATTAAGCATTACTTGGGAGATTGAAAAGATGTTTGTGTAAAGCAAGCAACAACTTATTTAAAGGCCAAAATAAGTCCAATGAAAATACAGAACTGGATCTTCAGTGGTAGTTGCTCCATTCGTTATCCATGATCTGACACAAATCTTTTGCATGACGATTTCTAAACCATGATATTTTTCAACCAATCAAAAAGTTTACTTATCAGATTTAAAAGCAGTAATCGTAAAAAGACATAACAAACCATCATCAGATGACGGATATCGTTTTCATCTCAAGCAAAATGTGGATTTTTGATCAAATTTGTTCAAGGTAAGGGTGAACCTTGTCCAGATTGAAATATAGGACCGAAAACTTAAAATGTAATGGGTATGTTGCGTTCAAACAAACATCTTTTGAGAAGGAAAGGTGGGTCAGTCCAGATGGTTACTTACAAGGGTTGTTGGTTTTGACTAGTTGACAAGATCGACAGCATGATGTTGATATGAAGGAATGGTAACATAATTCCGGACTAACTGGAACCAACTCTTGACACGTGGAATCACCAACTACATTATTTGATACATCTACACAGGCTGAAAATAGAATGGTTCGATCTGAAGCTAGATTTCATCAGAATACTGACACCTTGCATGAATCACGAATGCCACAGTGTCCAGTATGTTTTAATTTGTACTCACCACCACTTACATATTGCCAGGGGAGCTATTGTGTAAAACTTTAAACAGACAATAAGGGGTGCCTACCGCTCGATCTAGCAGGTTCGGCCATACATCAAATTGTACGGGCGCCAAATATATAATATTTTGGAAACTCATTTCTTGTGTGAAGGAAAATCTATCATTTCAACTGTCTAAACCAACGAGAATACACTTAAAAAGGAAAAGAAAGAACGAGAACTTACTTGCAGGCGGTTGAGTTTGACTAGTAGTAGGTTGAGGTGGTTGTGTACGGGGTGGTAAGGTCTGTCGTGTGGTCGTTTTAATACCGCCTGGTACTTCTATTCTATAATTACAGGTACCACAACATGTAGCACTGTAATTACCTCCCCTTGTATCTCTCCGACCACAACCAAGTCTGTTACAGCCATAACCTTTATCACCATATTCACAACCTAAATGGAACGATTCAATGACATGAAAATAGAAATATCAACTACATTACCCCAGACCATCATAATTTATTTTTTACTGATAGAGTGATTTTTAAATCTAAATTCGCTAGAGTCATTTCTAATGGTTGCAAACGTGAAATATATTGTATTTGTATTATGGACCGAGCTGGTAAGAGTCCAACATTACAGACTAATGTGGCTGTTTCATCATCAAAATGTTTACAACTTACCGTAAACTCCAATATAATGTTTTGAACAAGTTTGACAGCATCTCCCTTTAACTAATTCTTGATAACAATAGGCTGGGTAACCACTAACGAATTGCTCGCAAGTTGATCCATTGAAGGCTGTTCCAACCACATTACCAAATGGACACGTTTCTGAAAGGCCAGAAATAATTCAAACCATAAACAAGAGCAGTTTGTGTTGATATGTCATGGACGGAAATAAATTTGTCTTTGCTAGACAATAAAAGCACTTGTGAAATCAAATTATAGAGAAAACTTACCGTCTAAATCTGGTGCTCTGAAATCAGCTTTACATTCTCCGTCTATACACCACTGGAATAGAAGATATTAAAATCATAATAGACCAGAAACTATTTTTCTAAGTTCCAAAGAAGGGAAATCGCTTTTTTCGGGGAAGCTGACATCGAAATTTAAGAATATCATTCACCAAGATTCTTTAAATGTGAAAGATTCAATCTTATCTCCTACGTGTGGCAGAGACTTAATTTTCTATGATTAATATTTTTTTTTCAAATGGAACATATGATATTCATGAAAGCCTTAATGGTCTACAATTTGGAATTGAATACCTACCTTGTTATTACCGCACGATAACCCTCTTGGAGCGACCTGTTTGTAGCAGGAACCATCAGAATAGGGATCCAAACAGAACAATGATGTACAAATGTCATCGAGTTTACCGAATTCTACTCCCTGGAAAATTAAAAAATCGTTAAAGCTTGAAAATCGGACCATAATGTTTGAGGAACATCTTTTAGAGCACAGTTCAAGGTATTTCAGAGATGCTTCAAATGCTGATCCTGAAGTTAAACTATAAAACATTTCACTGATTATATACATTTTGGCAAAACTGCGTAAATGCAAATGATCCAGGAGACAGCTAACGTGAAATATGGATATTTGTTTATGATATATAAATTTATACAGATTTTGGAAACTAACCTTGCACATTCTAGACGCTGGACCATAAATCTGTTGACAGATCTGATCTGGAGTATGGAGTTGTCCTGGTAATGTTTTACTCACTTCCGGTATGTTGCTGCTCTTGCTGATAGAGTTGTATAAACATTGTCTACCACGGCTGAAACATAATGTAAAGTGTGTGAAAAAAGGAAAGTAATGAATTGGAGTGTTAATTGGTCGGCCTTCGTCGCAGTGTACAAAAGAAGAAGACATCTTTGGTATTATGGATATGGTCGTCCAACGTAGATGATTTAGCTAGTTAGTTATATTTTAACGAATAGGTTATTCATTAAAACTTACCATCAGTCTGACATTGGCTTATGAGATAATATGATAACTTACCTAGTCCTGGCAACCCGAGCTAAACGATCTCTAAAGTATTCAATAGAGCAGGATGAAAATTTCCATGGGTTTGTTTTGGTTTGAGGTGTTGATCTGTAACTTCCGGCTGTCATAATATATCTGTCAGAATCACTACACATTATACTCATACCATCATGTTTGGCTCCAAGACTGTAAGCAGAAAAGATCAAATATATTAACCATGGACGTGTATAGAGCACCAGGAGTTACTTCCCTTTTACCATATTACGTTCAATCATTAAATTGAGAACTAATGTAGTATAACACCTACCTGTGACCCAGTTCGTGAGCAGCTGTTTCAGTACACTGATACCCTCCTTCATCTTCTACTACTGATGTAGCTTGTCCCCTTGTATCACAGATTGCTCCAATAAATGCCAAACCTACAAACAAGGTATTAATGGTATTTTATAAATTTCTAATATAAGTCATAAAACTTTGAATTGATTTAAAATATGTCAATTCAGTCTCAAAAATTTCAAAATTCCAAACGTTCACCTCAAAATTGGACTCATACACACTTATTGTATAATTTTAAGTCAAAGGCGCACTCTTCTTTCATTTCTTTTATTTTCTTGTTCAATTTACAAATTTGTATTTTGTGTATCAAGTTATCAGCGGTGTTCGTTAACCTACATCGTAAATTCTTAAAATTGCGTCTAAAAAAATGATAGAAATTCGTTTAAATAATCAGTTTGAAAACCGAGTACAAAGATTATATATCATTCCAATGGAATTCATTACAAGACACATTGTTAGAGACATCCAACACTAATCTCACTTGATCTTAAACACTGTTAAAGTAATCCGAAACCAATGATTAAGGGGATTAGGGAGCCATTAGTAATATAAACTTACCAGCAGTAGAGTTAGATCGAATACCACCAGTTTCAGAATACAAATTATACCGTGTTAATAACATCATGTGATCATATTGAGGTAGGCTGTCAGCTGAACCAACCCAATCTTTAAATGATTCTAACACTATATCAGAATCAACTTCATCACGAGGAACCTGGGTTTGTCTCACGTTCTCTGTCCAACTGGCTGTACCCGGGGTCTGAAAAAAAAAGGTCATAACATGTCCCAAATTTGACAAAAGCTTTGACGCATACGGGGATAAAATCCAACAGCTCCCGTTCTCATGGAATGCATTTATATTCCGATTGTTGCCTTTGAGATTTGGATGTGGAATATCAATTCACGTTTCCGGAGAGCTGTTCAAGATGGTATAGCTATTCTGGAATGGGAATGTCAAAAATAAAATGTCATTTCGTTACATCTTGAGTAATTATTGCCATTGTATTGAAAACACAGTGATGCTTCTTAAATTCTTCAAGGAAACAGTTCTAGTTAGGGAAATTGTACATCAATCAGTAATTGAATACCAACATCAATGTATAACATGACCACATGGTACACCAATATCTTAGGATTCAGAGAAGCTGTGATATTTGTACGAAACCTATAATGTTATAATATATTTATAATCTAAATTTGAAACTACCACCAATATAATAAGTAAACATACCTCTGCTATAATCAAACTAGATAATCGAACATTTATGGCAAAATCAGCTTCTATACTCTTATATCTTAAATTCATCTGGAAAAAATAATACATCGTTTAGTAGACCTAACTAAGTGAACAATTCCATTAGACTGCATAATACGCCGTCCATTAATGTGTTACAGAAGTGGTTCTTTAATTATTGTTAGTCATTGGCTCCGTAAGCTTTATATACTTTTTCAGATAGAACCAGAGTGACATCTAAACATCTCAATGCCATTCCACAGCTCCTTCCATATAAATGGTAAAAGTTAAGTAATTTGTAAAGGTCAATCTACAGAAGACAGAACAGGTTTTGCTACTTACTCCATTGGCCACAATGGCATAATATAATCTGATGTTATTCAAAGCATCCCTCTTTCTATCAACACTTTTACTTTTGAGATACCAACTGAAAAGATACAATCATTTGCTGAAGTTTGTAAAATAACTTAAACTAAAATAACTTGTATTGATTGGCTGGTAGATGACAAGTTAATGCCAGCTTTCAGCTTACTGATATCGCAGACGAGGTAGTTAGTAGTCATGGTAGGTGATAGTCCTGGTTTTGGGTAGAAGGATCAGGATCATTTAGATGGTTCGGAACTGTTGGTTGGCTAGATAACGAATTAGAATGTATTCTCACTACTAATGATAAGTAGCCACCAATTATGACTGAAGAATTGTTCATGGTATTTGGAAAAACGTCATATTATGCTAAATCCTTAGAGCATAATATTAACAGGGCAAATTATATGGAACGGAGGTATGCAAACAAACTTCTCACTTAATCTCATTTTCAGTACTATGTATTGACGGAGATCCTTTTTGAGGTTTGAATTAGATAAAAAAAAAATGTATCGCAAGTTAAATTCGCTTACTGGTCGCAATTCAAATTTCACAAGTATTGTGTAATCAAATTAAAATGATTGATGATCAAGTGGGCCGTTATTGGTGTACTTCTGGTGTATATGGTGATATTTACACAGTTATAACGAGGTCAAATGACATTTCACCAATATTTCATATAATATTATCCAGGTGAATCAACTGCTAATTACATCTACAGGCTACTCATTAATTAGTTGATTTACTAATTACCTCGGGATATAGTCTATTTTACAAACTAGCCGACAACTTTCACCTAATTCAATCGCATATTTAGTTATTTTGATGCTAAATTTATAAATCCTTACAAAATGCCCGATTTTTAAGAAAATTTAATCTAATGCCAGATGTGTCAATCAAGCTTTAATTTTAATGTTTTTATATTTGTATCTTCAAGAGATGCACTGGTTTCAGTTTTAGAACCACATTTCATAAGAAATCCGAATCACTTTAAAGTGTAACTTGTAAGTGCTAAAAAAATTCCATAAAAATGAATATAAAGATATTGTTATTTAAATATCCATCTTCATAAAACCTGAGATACCAGTATTTACGTGAGAAACGGGAGAATAAAGTAGGAAGATACAGCTAAGGTCCTGTATTGCAAAAAATCGTTAAAAATTCACAATGAATAATGTCAATATATAGAAACAGTGTCAAGTGTAAGAATGTGAGATTCAGACTGTGGTGGGACACGTTTTGAGACAAGTCAGCAAACATAAAACCACTGTCCTATTTCAATTTTACCTTCCTTTTCTATTCTATGCAAAAACACAACTATACGGTTTTATTCCTAGCAGTGAAACAATTCAACTACACTGGATCAAAGTGTTCAGAACAACTATTGGCGACTTAGATTCATCGGAGCTCATATCAAGAAATTAACTGCGAACAATTCGATGGTTGCTGTCGTCACTATTTTTTTGTCGATCGTGCTCTACAGTCGACTAAATCTGCATTCGAAAAGATTTTGCCAATAGCTATAATATAGCTATAGCAGATGTCGAAATTACAAATGCTCTGTCAATCGCAGGTTCAACATGATATTAATAAAGGGTTATAAACACTCTTTAATTATTTCTGAGACGATTTTTTCGTCCATGCTTTTGAAAAAGATAGTAGTAGGTGCATGTACTTTGAATTCAAATAAAATCTTCACTAATGTCAAGAATCAAAAGTTAAAAATTGTCCTCCTTGTAATATAAAAGATGTTCATGTAAGTTAATATTTCTTGTTACCGAATAATTATACTTCTAAGGATGAAGTTCAAATGTCTACAATCTTTTGAGTGATACTCAAGTAAGGTGAAGTGAATTAATCTTTGACGAGCAAAGGTTTGCGGTGGTTGGAGTTGGCCAGGAGCGTCGATCAAGGCTGATATAACAATTAGTGCTCTATTTTATTTTATTGGGATTTCATTTTATGAAATTTATAACTGAGAATATGAAAATGGAGTTTTACATCCTACAGTTCAACATATTGTTCTCTATTCATATATATTCCATAATATTGTCTTGTGTTTTGTTATCTATTCATAGGAGTTGAGAAGAATCCTAGCAAGTGAGAATACATGTGTATCCTGGTTTATATCTTCAATGAGTCAGGGCTGTAAGAAAGTTTTGACTATTTTCTTATTAGTACTGCTTCAGTTAATCTTTGATAAACAACAACAAGTAAAAGTAATATATGAAATAATAACTTATACCAATCAATATCTGAAGATTGATTAAGGAAATAAGTCTAATGTACCCAATTCATGATAACACGAGCAGGCCTATTGATAAGGAACATTTCTGCAAGGAAAATATAAAACATGAATGTTGAATAGAGCATTCAAATATGAGTTAATTTACGAGAATATGAAAGGAAAATCTTTTGCAGGAAACGGGCAATCTATTTTATAATGACACAAAATATGATCATCATGATCATCACGATCATCACTCATAGGTTCAAAATCTTTAGCCTCCATCATTCAGTTTATTTAAAAAGGGCGGTAAAGAAGGCAATAAAAAGGTTAGGTGGAATAAATGTATATGAATTATTTAAGGAGAAGTGAAAATGATATTGTGAAAACAATTATTAAACTTACAAACTATAAATTGAGTAATCTATCACCATGACAACATCTATATTATACGTAGTTGTAGCTCTTTTAAATCTAGGAGCAGATACAGCAAGGGGGAGATAACCCTTTCTAAAAGGATCGACTTCTTTCCGAGTCACCATATAATCTGAAGCTTCTTTAAAATCATGATGGAGTTGAGGTAGATCTTTCTGTTTATGTAAAATGTATTCTTCGTCTGCTGAATCATTGGCTTGTCGACGATGTCGATGTGATTTGGTAATAATATATTCTTTACCGTCAAAGGTTATTGAACCTTCCTGCAAAATTGATTTGTATGAATATATAAAGCCATTGGCATCTTGTAGAATTATTTGTACTTGCAGGTAACTTTAATGTTATTAATATTATTATTACATCATTATTAATTCAAGATTAATTCATATTACCCCGTTTTAAAAAAAAAGATCACTTCTATGTAAAGTATAAGGGGAATCATAAATTATCTTGTCTAAAAGGATACAAAGTACCTTTACAGTACTGCGTGCAGACCCAGTTATGGTATCGGGTCAACTTTAACACCGAAATTTACCTATATCTGATCTTGATTTGTACAAGACTAAAATATACTTACTAATGTTAAAGAAGATACACCATCGTTTAATATTGAACACTTTAATACTAATGCTATATTTTTCTCTGTATTTTGATATGCTGTATTATTTGACTGAAAAAGTACAATACATAGACCATAGGATATCATTAACTATTTGACCTGAAAATAATGTCGAACAGACAAACCCAGTTGCCTATATTTAACTTTGGGTTCGTTAGATCTGTAAAAAAAAAACATCAATTATAGGGAAAAAAACAGGAGAAAGTTAGCTCCATCAACTGATATAGCAACGTTTTAGCTGATTAAAATTCATTTAGTACTACTTATGGAATCTACACATAAGACCCTACAACATCAAAGGGTACATAGTAAATATACAAGCATGGTAGTACGTCAAGGTATTAATAAATTATAGATATCAACAGGTAATATACCTCAGAAGTTTGGGACTGTTCAGGAACAACAACTGGTTGACCACTAGGGGAAGACTGGAGGGTAAACATAGGTACATCTGTACCAACATCGGAGTTTTTCTGCAAATCACAGTCTATATGTTGATCTTCTATATGTATTTGTATAGGTAATATATCTGGTAGGCGACAATTGTAAATCTGTTGGTTGATATGGATATGTGCTGTTTCTAGAAAGACAAAGAAGGAATTTACATGAAATTGGGTTTTACGTTCTACTTTTCTGATCAAGCTTGTGCAAATTTGCATGTTAGGCTAGTTTGCAATGGTAGAAATACTAGCCACAGTACCTACATGAAGCCTCGGCTGATTATCCCAGTCGAAAGCCCAGATTGTAAGTAGCCTAGTTAGAGTCAGGATCATCAAGAGTGAAATCTTTGGACCATTAACCATCTTGTTGGGTTTTGCAATGTATCAGACTAGAGAGGAAAAACTCTGCTGTAATAGGATCCAGGGAGTGCTTAAAAACCAAAACTTAAAGAGGTTTTTATCCCGGATACACATAGAATATTTAGAAACCCACTTTACGATCTCTTTAATAGTAGGCAACAGGGAATAAATGAATCAATAATGAAATACACATCTGTTTGAAATGAATGGCTGTGAGCAAGATATTTATTGGTCAAAGTAAATTAATGTATAAATGTATTAATGTATAAATGTATTAATGTATAAATGTATTAATGTATAAATGTATTAATGTATTAATGTATAAATGTATAAATGTATAAATGTATTAATGTATAAATGTATTAATGTATAAATGTATTAATGTATTAATGTATTAATGTATAAATGTATAAATGTATAAATGTATAAATGTATAAATGTATAAATGTATTAATGTATTAATGTATTAATGTATAAATGTATTAATGTATTAATGTATAAATGTATAAATGTATAAAAGAATAAATGTATAAATTAACAAATTATGTCATAAAAAAATAAATAAGTAAGTATGCATATTTTGAGCCTTAAAGAATAACAAATTTGGTCCAGAATAAACGATGAGTCATGTCAAGACTTTTGAAGAAATTCAAAGTGCAATGATATTGCACAAATAGTTTAAGTGTATGCGAATTTCGTGAGATGACTAAACCAAACACTAAAATAAGTGGATCAAATAAAGTAGTGACTCATTCGGTAGACCCTATATAGATATACAGTCATATGAATAAGGGTCAGTGATAATCTTTAACGGTTGTCAAAAATCCTTAAAAGCAGGATATAAGTGCTTAGTTTATTGAATGTATAGACAATGAACATAACAATCCTCTTATGCTTTTTAATAAATCGATTGAAAATCCACGAAAAGTCCCTTCAAATTAAGATATGACTTACATTTATAAATAACTTTACTCAAAGATCTTGAATAGGTACATCTTTATGTGTGCACATCAAAAGTTGTGCATCAATAGTAATTTACAATAGGCATATCCTGATTTGCAAATTCAATACCTAGCAACATACTGACAATCGTCATGATTATATTATAGGGTTTACATATACACTGTATATATCAGATTAATTGTTACAAGAAAAACATTAGTACCAATCATAAGTGACATGCAAATGCGCAAAAACGGTTCATATTTGATAGGATTTATGGTCATTTTTAACAACCGGTAAAGTTAACATGCATTGGTATTGATTTATTGTGATAGTAGCTTGATGAACTCGCTATTCCCTTGCATATATATAGCTCAGGTAGACATTGAGTAATTGCTCAACTACCATAGGGACTAGTTGAACCAAGTCTACAGGTGGGCCCCCACCCCCAGAAAAATTCTCAATTAAATTTGCTTTATTCATTCTACTAACGTTATATCATTGATATTGATTTTTAATCCAGATATTTCTGTTCTACATTAGGGCTGGTCAACTGATAAGGTACAATATCGAGTAACTTGAAAGCGAAGTACATATAGCTTTGTAATGTTGGGCGTTGACAAGTAGGCTACCTGACTTGCAGATCAGCATATAATAAAGACTGGAAAGAACTCCTCGAAGTATTAGAATCGTCAATGGTTGTTGATGTCAACCACAAAGGACAAATGTATCTTTGTATAACTGAATTATCGCCTCGTCTATACGTATGCAAGCAGCGACTTGGTGAATAAAAGTTACATTGATTTTTTTCAGAAATGATCTTCTGAATATCATAAAATTATTTTACTATTCTGTAATCTTATATCAATGTATTCTTTATCGAAATGTGGCTTACAAGGTTCATACAAGGCCGCCCTGAATTTAAATCCTTACTTTGGTAGAGAACTTTACTATGTTATTCCACAATTACTTGAAATAAGATAACCTAAATATTTCAAGACAAGAAACACAGAGAACTAGAACTGAAGATTAAGTGTTTGAATCTTGTCTTTAAGCCGGGCTGGTAGCTACAGGGTGGCACCCCCTCACCCCTAGCCCAACGGGAACATCGATCACCCCACCCCCCTCCCCCCCCTGAAAAAATTCTGACAACCGACAACCGACAACTGACAACTGACAACAAAACACCATACGCCTTTCTGTGTGTTTAGTTCAGTTTTATGAGTCGTTCTCTTTTTGTACAGTGTTGACGTGAAAGTATTTTTTTAGCAATTAAGGTACAAGTACAAAGGTTTTTGAAAGTGCATTTACAAATCTTTGTAATAGGTTCTGCATATAGTTTACACTACAAGATTTGTATACTTGGGAAATCTTTATAAACATGAACATCTTGTCGAAGCTTTATAAATATAATGTTAAAAAGTTTCTACTGAACAAGCTGGACTTCTAAATACAACATATTTAAAATAGCTACATGTAATTTCCTTGAGAAAGTCATTATTTTCACCTGCCTGTGATATTATATAGTAGATTTCAGTTTGTATTCCACAGTAGGAGATATCTGAATTTCTTGAAGGAATTGAATCAAATAATACTGAAAATATAGTGACATCTTTTTATACACTACAAACACATAACTTTTAGTCTGAGTATCGATAGTGTTGATATTTTCTCATACATATAAGATAATTTACGCTTTAATACAGGAAAACTTAATAGTTTATACAGTTGAAGAAATTTTGCAATCAATAAAATTTTGTAAAACTGTTTAAGTAATATCTTAATGTAAAAAAGAAATAATAATAACACATGTAGAAAATGTACATAGATTATAAAGACCAAGATAGATAAGGAATAGTAATACGCTAATATATACACACAATTCAGTTGCTGAATGAGATTTATTGAAAATCAATAATTTTACAGGCTTTATTACATGTTTAGGATTGTAGTGATATTTCAGCTGTTACTTGTTAATGTAAAGTTTATCTCAGTTATAATGTTAAAGATATTAAGGTGTATTATGAAGAAACATGCTACATGATTAATCTTGTAAAAAAGGAGATTTTCTCTATTATATCAATTAATATTTATAATAATATATGTTCTATATTCCTTAAGTGAAGAACAACATGATATGTCAACAAGATTCGTGACCTGATTCCAAGGTACATTTCCTTTAACAAGCCCCTCCTAAGTTTCTCAGTGTTCTCTTATTTATTATTTCCGATACCCTATACGAATTATTGAATTAGTAGTATATTTCGTTTGACGAACCCATTCAGCGTCAGAGACACAACAAAAAGAATTTCCCATGTGATTTAAATCGTAGAATTAAAACACATTTCCTTTTACTAACCCCTTCTACGTTATGCTCTTGGCAGAGCAACAGAAAAATGTGTAAAAAGTCACCATGCATAATTCATAATTCTTCTGAATCACATGTTTCCAAAGTACATTTCCTTTAACTAACCCATTAGTAATGTGACAAATTGAAGTTAAAGTTAAAATATATGTCACACACATTATAAAACGTAAAAAGTAAATGACTAATGAAACAATAGGAAGGTTAAAAAGACATTGGGTGCGTCTAATCTCCATGAAGGATTTTTGAAAAAAAAACCCTGTCATCAAATAACGACATAAGTAGCCTCTCGAGTTTAAAGTTCATTGAATTGCATACCTATTCATATTTATTTATGATTTTCACGAAAATCTCCACTTCTCCTTCATAATTCAATTCCAGTGTCACAGTAACCTTCACAGACCAAGTAAATCCTTTATACATCATAAAAGCAAAATATATCACAATGAATGGCGTATGCTATGCATGATTTTTCTACAGATTTACAATAACCGAGGACGGATATGCCACTATCCAATTTGATAAAAGGTAAAGGTTTCCAAACCTGATATTTGTCATAACGGTATTATGTATAGCAATCCAATTCACAGAATGGCATCATTCTGGATACTACAGAAGGTCAAGCATGCCTAGCCTCGCTTGTAGGTTTTTATAGTGGAACTTAAATGAAGAAAGTCTTTAATAAACATTTCGAAAATTTACCGGGGTTGCAAATAAGACGTCGGATTTAATTTTGGAATGGTGCAAATCGATTCCATCAGAGCCCCGACACACATAAATTCTTTTTAGAAAACGTCGTAACAATTCCTTTAAGTATAATTATCAAACATGATTGTCAAATAATTTTTTTGTAGATGACATACATTTACGGATCACTGACCTCCAATGATGTAGGTTTTATGTCAAGAAGTTAAAATAGGAAATGAAACTAGGACCTAATTAGTTAAATACTCATCCTATAACATCATTGTATCATTAACATTGTTTTCCTCTACTATATATCACACTGATTGTAGGCGTGGAACATCTAATAGTTGACCACTAATCCTGCCAAAATTACTCATTGTACAGTGTAAAGCTAACACTTTTCCGGATGATTTAGCGTGATTTGTTGTAGAACAGATTTGTGGTCATACTGATTCATATACATGTATTATCAATTGTGGTTTACCACAACCAACATTATGAGCCATTCAGATGAACAGTACAAGGGGAGTGAAAATTTTGAGTACATTAAAACCACTGGGATGAGACTTGGACTTTGACATTGAATGATGTCTTATGAAAGTTTCATAGATGCCTAGGGAATGAGTGAGCTAAAAGATGTGAATCAAATAAAATGGATTAAAGAAGTCAAATGCGTCAACTTGTTTCCTAGTCTTATTATGATATATAAAATCTCTTAATATTGCGTTTCTTTTTTAATTAATTCAAGTTGACTAAGATCCAGCTGTTGAAATTTTGTTCCGTTTA